GAGGTTGCTATGAAGGGAAATAAAGTTAGTCCATGAGGCATTTCCTCATTAAGTTGTGCCATCAGAAAAGCTCAGGAATTTTTCTTTGAGTGCTAGAATGGGTCTTTCTGAAAGGTCAGGCACAAGAGAAGCTTGAGACTTTGTAGCACTTGATCAGTCTCTTCCAGCTGGACTCCACCGAACAGCCACTCAACAGAACTCATCTACCAGGTAGGAAATGCAGATCTGCACTGAATCCTTAGCCCACTTGCATGGTGTACAATGTCCCTGTCACTAAATTTATGTTACGGATACTTACATGCTGCATATTTAATCCCTGTAAAATTCCCCTGGAACATTCTGTCATCTTGAAAAGGGAAATAAGTTGAAACATTTATGGCCATTAGTCTGCTTTATTTCACTTTTTTTTGCAACAAATGGAACTGGAGTAGGAACTAGTATCTGATACTTCTTTAGGGTATTGCTTCTTGCACTGCCCGCAGGATTAAATCGGTGAGGCAGTGAGTTGTTTTCAACCTCTGTAATCATAGGGATTTACAAGTGTTTCAGTAAGACTGTTGATAATTGTGATACCACAGAACAATGTGTTCTGAGGTGGTGTTGGGCACTCAAAATTGCTACGGAAATATTGATGATGTTCAAAAAGAGGTTGTCATATTAATCAGAATGGGGTTTTATGTAGGTTATTTCACACAGCCTCATTGGTGAGAGGCTATGTAACGTCAATCACGAAGTTAACCTCATTTTCATTTCAGTTTAGCAACTGGGATTCAAATAATAGCTTCATCTTAGTATTTTTTCATCTGGTAAAATTAGGTGATTTCTATTGAAATATCAAATTGTAATATCCTCATCTTGATGGCATGCCCTGTTCTCCAACAATCGTCTTTTAAGAAAGAAAAACATCCTAAATGCTTGCATTCAGCAAAGGAATCAACATGTTTTCTTTTTGCTGACTTTAGTCACTGCCATTTCTTAGATAATAATGTGTGTGCTTATAGATTGTTCAGGAGTGTGAAAAGTCCTTTTCAAAGTAGTGGAAGAAAAAAAAAATCTATAATTTCAATCTTGACTCTATTATTCCTATTTGCTGTTTCCTTCCTCTGTGACTCATTCAAGGAATGTAGATGAAATCGTTTTGTCCTTTTTTTGCATACTCTCATAGTATCATATTTTCTAAATCATACTGGCAGTATGACTGTGTTTCACACACCCACAAGCTTGTTTGTAGTGATAGACCTGGTATAATGCTGCTGCACCCATCCTGTAGAACTTACTCTGAATGTCTTTGGCAGTTTTCTTGGAACAAGTCCTACAGAATGCATTTTTGGGTCAAAGGAAATTGAAATATTTGCCTGAAGGCTGTTTGCCTTTGTAGCTCTTGAAGCTCCAACATGCAACTGGTTGAATGTAACAAACAATGGCCTCTAAGCAAAAGATCACACTATAAACAGAATGTATATAGAAAAAAATGTTGACCATCAGGTATCAAGTTTAGACTCCCGTTAAAATAATTAATAGGTGAAATAATGTTTCAGTTAATAACTGAAATAGTCCGTAAAGTATTAGTAAGATAGTAATTTTTAGGTAACTTGGTTTTTGGGGTTTTTTTTTTTAAGAGTACACACTGAAAATAACAGCCAAGATTTTCAAAGCTAGCCACCAGTTTGGAAAAGCTTGACTCTTATTAGATTGCTTTGCAAACAAGGATGTGACTCTCATATACATTGTTCTTTTTATAATCACCTTCTCCAAAACAGTGGATGAAAAGTTCCAATGCAACATTTTGGTCGTCATTTTACCTTTTTTTGCTAAAGGAATTTCTATCTGGTATCTGGCAATAAAGAATCAAGTCTACCTTGGAGTTTACGCTTCTGTGTACAACTAGTCTGCAAGAAAAAGAGTTGGAGATGAAAATGCTTTTGTAGTACCAGGGACCAGATAAGTAGATCTCATAGCTTAGACCTTCCAACATTAATGATGCTTGTAGCATGATGCAACACACTTTTGGAAGACATTCAGCAAGAATGAACCAGGGAAGAAAGTAGCATAAACAGGGACAGATTAGAAAATACATCTCTGATTATATAATGAGTGCTTCTGAATGCTTCAGAATGCTTCACTCTCTTAGATGTATGCTTCTTTCTAAATCTATTGCTTAAGAATTTTTAAGTGTTTTCATTTTACTGTGGAGGTGTCTTATGAATAGTATTACTATTGAAGAAGAAATCAAAATAGTCCAAGTAACAGAATTCTTTTGGCAAGCAGTACTGTTTGTGACTTCTTTTGTTGCTTGAGTCACATGTGAATCTATTCCAATACGAATCCACATGTAAGAAATACGTAAGATGAAAATTGGATGTGAAAATGAAGTTCAGATATGTCATCAGATATCTTATTCACCCATCCTCCCACCCATCCACCCACCCAGTTCACCCAGCCATTTCCTCCTAAAAAGGGAAATCATATGAAATGGCTTTTCTGACTAGATACACTGAAAAGATTTTTTTTTTTTGCATGTTTTTCATGAGGCAGTGGGCCACTTAAATATGTGTAATTTCTAGAATAAAATGAGAATAATTTCAGTTGTTCATGTCTGGTTTGGATTTATAAAGTCTCAGAATGGGAATGTATCATAAAAGCTTGAAAATCCTGATGGGATAAAAAAAGCAGCTCCTAGTTCTAGAGATAATTTTTTTATGACTGACTGCAATATAAGCAGAGAAGGTTGGAGTAATTTTCCTTTTAATTAAACACAAAAAAACGATGAACATGGCTGCAGAGAAGAGTACATCACTTCTGGTTCCTGCAATTCCATGCATGTCCTTATAAGCTTGAATACGTGCTTGCAGTAAACATGCATATGTATGTAATGAAGGAGGACAGGTCAATTTTAATGCAAAGGAAAATGATGTGATTTTTGAGATCTTCCTTTTTCACATGGTTATTTCATTTGCAATTTGTTTTCTCCCTATTTGAGTATCATATGATAATGGTACAAAGTTATTTGCTTCTGTTTGACTGTCATCTTTAGAAGAGCCTGTTTGACAAGCTAGGTTTTTAAAGAATTGGTAACTAGAGCATTACAAACCAGGTATAGAGCTATAAAGGATTCATAGAAGTAATTTTCAAAATTAAGTTTACGGCTTCTAAGTTTTACACTTTTGTTGCCTTGAGGAGTTTTGTGTTCTGTGGAGCTGCCTCCTCAGGTAAGAATAATTATGAATTTACATTGAGCCTTCCATCATAAATAAACCATCCCAGGGGCAATAAAAGGAGGTAAAGTAATTGGGGGGGAGATGGTTTTGAGAAGGTACCAACAAGTAGATGACTTAAGATCCAAATATATTAGATAACCGTGAGAGTCATAAAATGTGACATTCAGATAGGGCAGATATGGGGGTTCAAAGTTTACTGTAAAGCAGCTGCAGAGAGTGAGAATACAGAGTGAAAGGAACTTTTTTTTAAGAGAGAAGTTATTTCTTTCCCCAAGGTTTTACTTCGATGCATTTTTATGATTCCTAGGCTTTGCAAAATTGAATTGCATTTTTCTTATTCTTTTCGTGTCTGAATAAATTCAGGGTAAGATAACCTTTATGTAAATGAAGTTATATTGTGTTAAGAGCTACAAACCATTTCTTCAGAGCAGAATCTGTACTCAGGATTCGTAGGAGCCTGAAGAAGGATGGTGAGACTCTTGGAATGCTCATTTAAAAGAACAGATACAAGGACTATTTTTGTAAATTGCTGTCAAGGCATGGCAGTCAGCTGATGCAGGGGGAAAGCCTGAAGACGAAGCCTGCTATAATTACTGTATTTTTCTTTTAAAAAGTAACAAAGGAGGAGGAAATAGTCTTGCATGTATTTCCCTGTGGTAGGTTAACCTTGGCTAAGGGCCAACCCCCCACCCAGCCGCTTGCTTACTCACTGCCCTCAGCAGGACGAGGGGAGAAAATAGGATGAAAAAGCTTGTGGGTCGAGATAAACATGGGGAAATTGCTTACCAGTTACTGTCATGGGCAAAACAGACTTGACTTGTGGAAAATTAGTTTTAATTTATTGCCAATTAAAATAGATTTAGGTAATGTGAAACAAAAAGGCAAACTTTAAAAGCACACCTTTCCTCCCCCCTTTCCCAGGCCCAACTTCACTCCTTCACTCCAGACTCCTCACCCCCTGAGCAGTGCAGGGGGGACGGGGAATGGGGGGTTGTGGTCAGTCCATAATGGCTCCTCTCTGCCCCTCCTTCCTCCTCACACTTTTCACCTGCTTTGGCGTGGGCTCTCCCCGTGGGCTGCAGCCCTTCAGGAAAAAAAATCTGCTCCATTGTGGGTCCTCCATGGGCTGCAGTGGATATCGGCTCTGGCATGCTCCTTGCCATCCGCTCCGGAGTGTGGAGCACCTCCTCCTCTGACCTTGGCGTTCCCTCTGCTGTTTCCCACTCTTTCTGTTCTTCTGCTCTTCTGCCTGTGTGGCATTGTTTGCTCTTCCTTAACTATGTTTTCTCCAAGGCACCACCATTTTGGCTGAGGGGCTCAGCTGTGTCCTGCCATGGGTCTTCTGGAGCTGGATGGAACCACCTGTGTCCAGCACAGGGAAGCCCCGGCCTCTCCTCACCAAGGCCACCCCTGCAGCGCCCCCACTGCCAACACCTTGACATGGACACCCATTACAGTCCTGTTCAATTAAAATATTTTTGAGTGTAGTGAAGGAAGCTTGCCATTTCATATGCACGATACCACCAAAACCCTACTGTTGTTAAAATGTCTTACAAAAATACATAAGCTATGATTCAGTTGACTGTTTCTTAGAGGCTAGTTTTGGTTACTAGACAATCGGGGATGATATGATTGAACCATGGATGTTGGCTTTTCAGCAAAGCTACCCTTTTAACTAAGCCAATGTTGTGAGTAGGGTATGTAGTCAGAGATAACACTCTTCTATGTCTTATCTATGGAATATGATTGCAAATGTTTTTGTTCCATTTTTCCGCAATTTAGATTGCAAGGAGATAATTTGGCAGAAAGGCCAGAAGATGTCTCCATGGTATCTCAAACATCTGAGCCAGCAGTGTCAGACTCTGATGGTAAGTTATATAAATATTTGCTGCTCATAAAAAAAAAAAAAAAAAAAAACCTCCAAACACCAAAATCTTGAATTTAAGAGTAGAGGTTTTGTCTGTAAAAGAAGATTAAACACTTTCAGAGAGTGTTTCTGGGCATTTGAACTCAATCATTTACACTTCAAATCTGTTAGAAGAGCCCCTAACATGTTTTTTGTCATGTCCAATTAGCACGCCAGAATAATTCCTAGGCACGTTTTGGGAGCCGCCTTGGGCCAGGATTCATTCTTAGTAGACAGTTTGTATGTTAGCACACTATTTTGGATGTAAAATAGCTTAATAGCATAGACATGGGCTGTTCGTTGCCATTTGGCCTCTATGCCAAAGAATGGTCTTTGAAATATTTAATTTAATACTACAAATGCATCCACAGGATTCAAATAATATAGAGTAAAAATAAAAAGAGTTATAGAATTTCTCCCCTGTTTTTAAACTATCAGAAATGCTTCTCTGATCTCTCCAAGCACCACTGACTAGATTTAAAATACAATAAAAAGGAGTTCATAGAATAGCTCTGAAAAACGTTTTTTTCCTCCTCATACAAACATAATCATAGATTGCGCTAATCTGCAGTCAGGACACTCAGCCTTATTTCAATTTCTGCTCAGGTTTTTGAACAGAATAACACCTGAAATCTAATGGAAAAAGCACTTCCTAAGGGATATCTTGCCACAGAATGCCCTGCTTTCCTATGAAAGATTAAGTTGATAAGGTTAACTTCATCTTAGCTGTCACTGGAATGGAGACAGAAAGGAATAGAGGTTTGGACGGAGAATCTGCAAAGATAAATCTTTCAGTCCGTTCCCTTACTGTTGGGCAGAACCAGCTGAGTCTATTAATTGGAGGATTGATTTGCAGTTTAGTCTTCAGCAGCCACAGAAAAGTTAGCTAGGTTGATTAATCAATGCAAAACAAATCGGAACTAACTTTTGTTGTTTTTAATTATCCTACTAACTGTCTGCTATTTAGTGCTATTAGGTATGACGGCAACCTGAGCTTTTGCTCATTTCTCTTGCCTCATTTGTAAACCAATGTATGTCAGCATTTGTAACTAGTATGTCTTTAAAGATAAATTTTTCAAACTGGTTTTGTGAGAATGCATGGCTTCATGCAGTCATGCCATTTGTTTTTCCTTTCATCCATTGATCACTTTATAAAAAAAATTAATAGGGGACTCAGAGTCTCAAAATATGATATTCTTACAAGCTTGATGAAGATTGTCAGCAAGAGTGACCCAGACTGTGGTGACTGCACTCAAGCCCTGTGAAAGGAAGGTGAATTTCTTTTGTTATGAGAGTAATCCCCAGGAAGGGAGGTGGTGGTGGCTTGTTTGGGATAGTTAAGAGGATATGCAAGCATGAGATTATTGCAGCAGAAACAAGTAGGAGGGGTAAGACGTAAGACATACATGTAGG